TGGTGCAACAAAGCGGCGGCTGCCTACATCAGTCACCAGGGAGGTGTACGATCAGCGCAGCTGCTGAACACAGCCAGGTGGCTGCTGTGCTGGGCGCAAACACACGTACTCTCTATCAGAGCAGTGTATATTCCCGGCGAGTTGAACAGAGGGGCAGACCTCATGTCCAGAGGAGGTCCTCGCCAAGGGGACTGGAGCCTCCACCCCGAACTGGTCTCCCAGGTGTGGAGCAGGTTTGGGAGAGCGGAGGTGGATATGTTCGCTGCACGCGGGAACGCACAATGTGCCCTCTGGTTCTCCCTGAGAACGCAGGAAGACCCCCCCCCCCTGGGGGTGGACACGTTCGCACACATACCTTGGCCCAGGGTGTTATTATACGCTTTCCCACCAGTCCCTCTGATCCCTCGGTTCCTGGACCGAGTGCAGGAGGAGAGACTGACAGCGGTCTTAATAGCCTCGGAGCGCACGGGAGCGTCCTGGTTTCCATGCCTACAGCGGATGCTGTCAGGGAGACCGTGGGAAATTCCGTGGCGCAGGGACGCTCTCTCCCAGGTGGAGGGAGCGATCAGCGGTCACCCAGGGTTAGGCCAACGTTTGTGGGCATGGCCCCTGAACGGGAACACTTAGAGGGGCTTGGCCTCTCTCAAGATGTTTTGGTACGTGCACTGAGAAAAGCTCCATTTGAACCTTTAGATCAGGTCCCCCTGAAGTTCTTGTCAGCCAAAGTAGCTCTGCTCTTGGCTCTGACATCAGTTAAAAGGGTGAGTGATTTGTCTGCTCTCTCTGTGGCTCCGTCATGTCTCCGGATCCAAGGAGATGGCAGCTCAGCTGTTTTGCGCCCTAACCCGGCTTTTATGCCAAAGGTTATCACAAGCTCTTTTAGATCGAGAGTGATAACTTTGGATGGCTTTTTTCCTCCTCCTCACACATCAGAGGAAGAAGCCACATCTCATCTCCTCTGTCCCGTGCGCGCGCTGTCATGCTATATTGGACGCACGGCTGCGTTGTGCAGTTCCCAGCGTCTGTTTGTGAATTACAGAGAGCGCTCAATAGGGCAGCCTCTGTCTGCACAACGCCTGTCACACTAGCTGTGTGAGGCTGTGTCACAGGCGTATGTCTCCTCTGGGTTGGATCCCCCGGAGAACATCAAAGCGCACAGCACCAGAGGAATTTCAACCTCTACGGCTTTGCACAGAGGAATGACAGTGGATTCGTTTTTATTTGAGGGATGTCTCCCATTCCTCTCTAACACACTCAGTACTGAATGTCCTGTCAGAGTGAGTAATGTCGGGGACTCACTCAACTGTGTGCCCTCTCTCCTGCCTGTCGGCACTCAGAGAGCTGCCCTTTTTCCCTCTTTTATTGTTTTAACAAGTGGGACTTTGGTCTCTACTTTTTATAACGACAGGTATTCACCTTCATTCTAGGGACTGTGATGCTCCATTACGCATGGCGCAATGGACATGGGTTATTAATAGGGATGGGAACGGGATTATTCAGGTATTCGAATAATTATTCAGGTATTCGAATATGAGTTATGAATATTTTTATTCATTTCTTTTTTTTTTTTTTTTTTTGGGAGGGATGCCTAAGTTGATTACATATTATCAAATGGAATAATTCAATGTATACGACAGTGCCATAGCTAAATGTGTTAGGTGACGTCTAAAGGTGTGTTTTGCTCCGCTCACCGGTCCCTCACAGCGGGCAAAGCTGCAGGTGCTGATCTCTCTCTCTCTCGCGTCCGGTAATTCACTCGCGTTTATGTCCAAATCCATCAGATCTAGCTAGTTCTAGCTAATGATATGGCTGCTGCCCCTGCCTACACGCAAATCACGCAGACTCAAACCTCATCTTATGCCCAAATGCGGCGCAAATGCGCTCCGCTGCCGTTGCGAGGTTCCGGCGCTAACAGTTCATGAGCGTGCTCCCCCGCCCCCTGTCAACACTCGCGACACATGAGTGGCCAGCCTAAACAACAATAAGCGCTGCTTGGCAACCGTGTGTGGCGGCAAAGTATAGACATTTTGACAGGAGAGATTTAGTTTTGCCAGTATTCAACATATTTTACCAGTCATAGTCCGGTAATTATTTACACTCTAAGAAGAGTCCTACACAACAGACATGGCGTCAAAAAGGCAGTGGCGAGCCGTGAGCTTTATACCTAGGCCCTCTGACCCCCACCAATTCCCTCGAAAAAAAGAAAAAAAAATAGTTATTACGTCACAGCGTATACTTCAGCGGAATATCAAAACAACGGCCCAGGGTGCAAAACGCACCTCTAAAAAAAAACCCTCTACCACACAAAACAACACCTGTGAACCCAATTTGTGTTCTTTGACATTGAAAATGATATTGCATTGTGTTTGTTACTTTTGTTGCAGTTGTATGTCTTAAGTGTAATTTGGCATGCTTTTATTTTGAAGGCGAGTTCACGCTGTTGACAGGAAGTTGTTGTTGCTATGGAAACAAGAAAAGTTTCACAGCGGGCGGAACTTGTCATAAAGTCCGCGATAATAAAACCCACCCATTTAGGGGAAGATATGATTGGTCAATTGTACTGTCATTTGACATTACTCTCTCGTTCAGTTACTATAGCGGGCCCTCTGTGAATCGCAGAGAGGGCCAGACGAGCTTCTTTCATGTAACCCTTCACATTCAACAGAGACTGAACAGGCAGATTCGAAGGATTTATTTCTTTGGAAATGTTATTTTAAATACAATTAAATCAAGTTTTTTTTCGGTAAAACTAATGAAAAATATAACAAAAATAATATTAAAAAAATATATATTTAAAAAAAAATATTTTTTTTAAAAATGTTTTTAAATATTATTTTTTAGAATATCTTAGGCCCTCACAGAGGGCCTAGAGGGCCCTGACGGCTCGCCACTGCAAAAAGGAGTAATGTGTGGAAATATTTCGACCAGGTTAGTGAGTGCGGTGTAGAGTGCAAACTATGCCAAATTAAACTTATATATATATATACATACTATACCTTGCTATACCCGCAACCTCCGTTCCAGCTGAGAGGGTCTTCTCTACAGCTGGCCTGATTGTGAATCGCCTCCGCACATGAAAGCTGTAGGCCTATAGCTGTCAAACTGTGATCACCAGTTCAATACATTTGACAAATTCGACTTGGTTTCTATACTTATTTGAACATGTATTTATTTATTTCCAAAAATTTGGAATTTTTTTTTTTTTAATTTTCTTTTTGACCCAATTTTTTTTTTATAGGATATTTACATTTCGGTTAACCGGTTAACCGTTTTTTGGGGGGTCGAATATTCGAATATACATTTGCTTTCAAATTCCCATCCCTAGTTATTAATTGAGTAGATGTGTTTTTGTACTTCTGGTAACGGACGGACCAGTGGGGCGTGGACTACATCCTGCTTCGCCCTTAACCCAATAGCGATAGCCTTAGAGGGCGAAGCCTTATACGATATAGAACTGGGGTTACCTACTGTAACCCAGCTTCTATGAGTATAGGCGCAGCAATCTAAGGTTCGGGCCCCACTGGCTCCGCGAATAGCTGAAGAAAAGCTGTTTGTGTGGGAGCAGATGGTCGTGCCTACTTCCTATTTATACGGAAGTGAGGCCGTAGGTGGGGCCCACGTCATAGGTGGGCGTGGATTAAGTCTGTCAGTGCTGCGCATGCGCAGTGGGATTACCCAATAGCGATAGCCTTAGAGGGCTGCGCCTATACTCATAGAAGCTGGGTTACAGTACGTAACCCCAGTTTCTCAGTGAGGTACTCAGATGAGTACCTGGAGTCAGTCTTTGGTACTCCAACTTCTGGACCCATGCAAAATTATGAGATGAAGCCCTCTGTGTCGCGAACGTCGACGGGGGGGTGGGGGCATGCTAGTGGAGTACTTCGGGAACGTCGACGGGGGTGGGTGGGGGTGGGGGACGGGTGCTAGTGGAGTACTTTGTGAACACAGAGCGTCAACGTTGTGATCAGCTGATTTTGCGCAGTTCTCCAGTGTGTGCGCGGGGCACAGGGGGGTCTCCCTACGCAGCCGGTTGGCGTAATTTTGGCACAATTCCGTTGTACAGACCGACGTTAACAGCAGCCCCGTCTGTGCACACGGAGACCGACTCTGTCTTCCAGTGATCTAAGCGCCTTCTGGAAAAGCTTCACAAGTACGTCGGTACGCAAAGGCGCTTAGTGACACAAGTGACGGTACGCATTTCAGATTTTTCCCACGCATGCGTACCTGCGTACCAGTTATGTGCACCCCTGCTTATATACAAGAGAGTGTTACAGTCACAAGATGGAGAATACCGGTCCAAAGCAGTATTCAATGTTTAGTTCAGATTAGCTAAGGCCCACGTAAGCAATAAACATGACAGTCATATGTCTATCTCCATAGAGGCTGAATCATCATGTTAATCGTTGTCACATAGCTATCATATGCCTAGAACATTGTGTCCTGATGCTCTTCTAGGTAATCATACATCCTGTTACGTACACAGTTACAGTTGGGCCTTTTTTATCATGTGCTACTCTGATATTGGAAGAGTACATTCAGTATTTTCCCAACACTTACTTTTTAAGTTAAACTTAACCCATACAGTCACAAGTTTGATTATCTCATCAGGTTGACATGACAAAGGTGTAGTATTTGTATTTGTATGGTTATTATTGCTTAAGTATAATCTTTTCTTTTATAGTCCGGTACAGAAACACTGTTTACAGTTTCGGCCATTAATACAACTTCCATTGAAAACCTATCAAGACCTGTAGAGCTGTGATTTTGTATTATCGGATGTATTCCTCATCAAACATGAGTGAATGAGGTGCCACACAGTGACAGGAGGAGAAGACTAGTGCTGCTCCATCACTCTGTGCACGGTGAGGAAAAGTCATCCCCTCTCCTTCAACTATGAAGGTGATCACTGACTCAGATTTGAGGATGCTCATGCTAAAATAACTGTTTTCAGTAAGTAAAAAAAGGCTCACGGTTCCACCATTGTGGGCTCAACAATGTACCTGGTAAATGTAACCGTTGTCAGTGACAGACGGCTGGGTGGAGGCCACACTGCGAGGGCCCACAGCCATCTTCAGGATCCCCTCACAACCTGCAACAAGGGAGGAAGAACTCCACCTCAATACAGCACAATAATCCTTTTATCGTTTGGTTTTTGGTTTTTCCATTTCAAAATCAAATAGAAAAAATGTAAGAGATTTATTTTCTTGAATATTTGTGACTTATAATCTTAGAGAATTGTATGTTTCAATTTTTCTGTTTAGGATTTAAAACAGAAAACACAAAAAGAAGAAAACAAAAGAAAAGAAGGAACGATTTGCAGATTAATACATCACTTCAGGAAGGCTATCAACATTTGATGGAATAGTTTAACATTTTGAGGACTACTGCAACTGCAGTAAGCTTAACACAACGCTTGGAAACAGAAGGAAAAGAGCTAGCCTGGCTCATCCTAATGCAGATCAAATGCAGTAGTGAGCTGATTCTCCACTCTACCTCTTTGGTACGTCATTTACATCTGTCTGCATGTCTTACCTTTAATGGCGAGCACTCCGTGGCAAAAGTCTTTGAAGTTGATCTTCCCATGAGCGTTAGGATCCAGGTACCTGGTTAACTTCTTCACCTGCAACAGACACAAGAGATTTTTACAACACAGTACTGCACCCTGGATCCTCAGACCGTCTGCATCAGGCATTAGTTCTGTTGAAGAGTATAACCCTCTTTAATCACCACAATGGCTGTGAATTTAAGATATGCTAGTGACCTGGCTTTATGTCATAAATGTGTGCTGATTAGCCGCTACATCATTTTTTGTTATTTTGAAAAAGAAAAGATCATTTTTGGTAAAGATTTCTATTAGGTCAGAGTGTCCAATAAGTATAAGTGACCAAAACCTACCTAAGCGTCCTCGGGTTTATGAAAGGCGCTATATAAATGTAAGTTATTATTATCATCACCTACCTGGATACAACACATGCTAAGCTAACATGGTGATTACAGTTCACATTATACGGGCCACATTAGTTTGCCAACATTGTGATTGTCAGTATAATGTAACAACAACAGATTCCAACCAATCCATGTTGGACTCTGCAGGAAAGCTAGCTAACATTAGCTGTTAGCAGCAGGTAAACAGAACAAATACACACACAACATTTAAATGAAATGGTTTATATGTGCTTTTATGATTATAGCATTTTTACCTTAGTGGAATAGGGGGATTTGAAAGGGATCGGTGTTCAATGTCTCAAATGTAGCCTCTGCATTTACCCATGCTATCAGGAGCAGTGTGCAGCTATTACACCTCACAGGAAGCCTTGATATGAATAAAGATGAATAACCCCTAGTGTGCTTGCAGTAAAGGAACAGCAGTGTGGTATTAAGATGTTATTTCATACGCTGACTGCAGAGAATTAATCACCATAGAAACGGGTGTTTTACAAACGACACAAATGTAAATACTTGACTGCTGCACCGTCTCATAGGCTGCTTCATTACTTAATAACCGACCAATCCGCTCAGAGACTCCTCGCCAGGCTCTCATCGCCATGGTGACAAAGAACACAGAGATGAGAGGCGATGTGAGGGAGGGAGGGAGATGGAGGAAAAGCTACCTCTTAGTACGACAGAGTTATTTTTAGTAGTGTGTTCATGGTGCTCAGCCGCCATGACAGCTTAAAGGAGAATCTACTCTCACTTTTCTGAAACACTCACAGGCGCATCCAGGATCTCACCTGCACCCTCCTACAATACTGATTCACATTTATTTCAAGATAATGTTTTACACAGCTGTCTTCAAACCATATGGTGTGACTAAATACAGTATAACAAATTAGGCCTCACCTGAAGCCTATATTTTAAATAAATTAACCAACAAAATTCAATTAAAAAACAACAAATTAGAGACCCCCATATGTATATAAATATATGTATTTAAGGGTACATAAGGAAGGAAGTGATTGACATAAGGACTTGTATATGAGGTTTTGGTAAAGTATAATTGATAAATGATTGTATCTTTTTATTTATATTCAAAACTGAAAAATGTATAGGCCGCGAAGATATCTGCCATCCTGTCCATCCAAAAAAATAAGAATTCAAAATAAGCTTTTACATTTATGATGACAATATCTCAAATATATGTTTTTAGTTGCATTTAAAAGTATGATTTATGAAATATATAATTTAGAACTATATACTTTTAATAGACTAAAGACATCTTTGATTGCAGTTAAGAAGGCCACATTATTTGCCTCAGTATTTATCACAGTAGATTTGGATAAGGTTTGAGTTATGTTTCGATTTGATTCTAGAAAGTTAACTGGACTTAATTGTTTATTAAATCATTTATTTCAGTGAAACGAAACAGCATCTCAGTGCGTGCATTTTTGTAGGAAACGTTATTGGACATCCATCCTCTTACCTCAGGTGGCTTAGGAAGAGTCAAAGTCTAGGATTTGCCACTTCACATATTTTTAAGATTTAATTAAAATTCTTCTGGGCAGCCACCGGTTTGAATTTCTCAGCAGGGTATGAAAAAAACTGCTATGAATAAGTATACATTGGGAAAGCTTTATTAAGCTTTTATGTGTAAATGCAGTTGCACACTTGGAGCGTATTGAAAGCTGTTGAGGATTCAATGCCCAATGTTTAATATGCGGCTAAAACATTGAAATGTTGGCAGAAACATCAAACTGCCAGAGCTCATGTGGCAACTTGACATGACAAAAAGGTATCTAAAACTTTGCATTATACTTTTAAACTCCTCTTAACCATAGACCAACTTTTGTATTTTTTAGAAGGAGGGGGGATATTGAGGGGGAGATAGCAGGTAACAATAAATGCCACAAAAGTGGTTTACATCATCTGAACTAGGGATGCATATCGTTGACTTTTTTACGATACCGATACCGATACCACTGAACGATACCGATACTCAACCGATACATATCGTGATACTTTCATGTTGCATAAGGGAAACATTTTATCATCCCGCAATTACTCCCATGAAGCGCTTTATTATATAGTTAACGTGTCAAATGAATATTAAATTCAATTGTGGGACTTGGACCTTTTAGTACTGAACAAACAATGAAAAACACGTTATCTATGAAGAAAACTGATTCTGCAATATCATTTATAATAACCATCAGGCGGGAATAGTACATCTTGTCAATGGAAAAACAAAATAGCACCAGTATAATCAATATTCAACCTGAGATTCGACTGACCAGAGAACACATAAAGGATCATGAGATCTCGGCATTGCACATAAAACAAATAGCATCCTTAAAATCAACATTTGCCTGATGAAAGAAAACAAATCCCATCACAGTTCAGTTTTGTGCATTCATCTTCAAGAAGATGAGCATATCTGCTCTCTCTGGATCCAAACGGGCCCTTTCACAGCGTAGGATATCACCTGCTAAACTGAACACTCTCTCGCTTGGCACGCTGCTTCCCTGAACACAAAGGTACTTGGTTGCCATACGAGACAGCATTGGTTGGAGATTGGATGTGTTGCCACCTTTCCCAGAAATAAACTTCTTGCAGTGGTTACAGACCCCACCATTCAGACTGGCAGTGGTTACAGACCCCACCATTCAGACTGGCAGTGGTTACAGACCCCACCATTCAGACTGGCAGTGGTTACAGACCCCACCATTCAGACTGGCAGTCATATGCAGCCACACTTTAGATTTTCAAAAGTGACTTGGTTGCGGAGTTTCACTGCAAAATTGACATCGTAATTCCGACGGTTTTGGGCACAAGTTTAAGGATATTATGCCTCACTTTTATAAAAAAATTAATTAAAAAAAAAGTAAAAAAAAATAAAAAAGTATAGAAAACCGGATCTGATTTCGGTACGGTATACCGTAGCCACCAGTATTTCGGTAATACCGGGAACCGGTATGCACCCCTAATCTGAACGCTGGCAACCTGAAGATTAGAGATGCACTCAGCACTGTGAAAGATATTGAATAAACTTTCCTTTGAATGGGGTCCTATCTTAATGTTTGAATAATATTAGATTGATTACCATGCATGCTCTATTACGTCTCAAGTTGTTGTGGTACTTTTTGTTTGTGTTACACAGAATTGAAATCAGTTTAAAGGACACCTATCATGCTATATTTAAATGATATATTGTAGGGCCATACCTATATAAGGTATATTTATACGTTTCTGTTTTCAAAATACCAAACAGATCATGCATTTTAGCCATGCCTCATTTCGCTCTATGTGCTGTTTGCTGTCTACGGGGCTGATCTCTGTGAGCTGCAGCTGACCACGCCCCCCTGCAGGAGAGGGGAGCGCGCTCTGATCAAGTCAAGAGGGGGAGAAAAAAAGATCTCCGTCCTCCGTGTTTTATTATATTATTATAGGCCTATAGAGTCGTTATTCATTTGTTTTAAAGCTCAATAAATGACAAAGAAGACCTTTGACCGGCACTTTTCTAATTTTGTCCGGAAGATTTAAACTTTAACGGACATCTTGACTGGCGAAAGAAACTGAAACTCTGCCGCACGGTCCCTTCGTTCCTTGGAAGAGGCGGAGAGGTGGGTGTTTGTCCTCTGCTGGTGGACTAACCGGAGAGAATTACAGTGCTTGCCTCGACGGGGAGGGATTGCATTGAATTAAAGCAGCGGGAGCAAACGCTTGCCACGCTGCTTTTGTGGCAGACTACAGCGCCACTTACAGGCCTGGCATATGTACTACAGCGTCTCCAGCGCTTTCGAGCGGCAATGGCCGGCCGTGGCCCAACCCCACATTCCCCTGATAGGTGGAGAGTTGGCCCAATAGCCGTGAAGCCACTTTACTGACGTCAGTAAAGTGTTCAAATCTGGATCAGTTTTTATCAGATCCGTTGCAGCCCCTTTTTTGGAGATTTGGGTATGGAGGAAAATAGAGAGGGTTGTGTTTTCTGACACTTGGTGAGTTCCCTGGAAGACTGGGGACACATATTCATGTATAAAAGACGTACAAAAGTGCATTTTGCATGATAGGTCCCCTTTAAATGATTTTTGACCCTTTAAGGATTGATATCAAATGGTCAAAAAGCTTTCACATTTGGAGACATTTTTCAGCAATCGGATAACTATTACTTCGCTAATGGAAACTGAGTATAGCACCTATAGTGACTTGTGTTAAGTAACTAAGTACATTTACTCAAGTACTGCTATTAAGTACAATTTTGAGATACTTGTACTTTACTTGAGTATTTCCATTTAATGCTACTTTGTTCTTCTACCCCACTACAATTCAGAGGTTTATAGTGTACTTTTACTCCACTACATGAATGTAATAGCTTTAGTTACTTTACAGATCTGAATTAATGATAAACAATATAATCAAGTGTTAAATCAGACTTTAGTTCCACCTGGAGTAAATTCACAAGCTACCCTGCAGTATACAAAGTTATTCAAACTAGCTGCACCTTTACCAGCTTTGATAACACTTTCATGATCAATCATTATAAAACATATCATATATATTATTCTGAAATGGACCAATCTGCACAATGACTACTTTTACTGTCTGTACTTTTGATGCTAATACTTTTGTACATGACTTGTAACAGAGTATTCCTACACTCTGGTACTTCTACTTTTACTCAAGAAAGATCTGAGTACTTCTTCCAGCTCTGCCTATACACTGACAAAACTGAAACGTTGACTTTAATCAAAATGTATTATGTCAACAAATGTCAACTGTATTAGGTTAGTTCAAAGCAATAATATAAAGTTATTTGATGTCCAGTTTAATATTAAAACGACAGTCTATAGCTAGCTTAACACTGAACATGTAAAGAACATGTCAGTCAATAGTTAGCAACTGAACACACATGCAAAGCACCTATAATCTCATACTAACATGTACACGTTATTATTCAGCTAACTATAGATAGGTAAGCACCTATAATCTCATACTAACATGTACATTTACACGTTATTATTCAGCTAACTATAGATAGGTAAGCACCTATGTTACTGAAGAGAAATGTAAAATACCTATATTAGGCCTATATATCCAGCTAGTTGTTAGGCAACTACAGTCTATAGTTAGCTTAACACTGAACATGTAAATAACATATCGTCAATAGTTAGCAACTGAACACACGTGAAAAGCACACACAGACTATATTTAGCTAAATAATGAACATGTAAAGCATGCAGTATAGTCTATAGCTAAACACTGAGCATGCAAGGAACATATAGTCAGTTAGCTACTGAATACATAGCCGAATAGCCTTCGAAACACTCATGTTGGTAAAGCACAGGTCTGGAGATTATAATTAGCTAAATAAAAAACACATAAAGCACCTATAGTCTACGATTAGCTGAATACTGATATAAATATAAAGCACAAATGGTCTATATTTAGCGGAAACGTCCTGTCCTCCAGCCTCTCACCTCGTCTCCTTGGCCGAACTGCAGCCCGAGGTCCACCAGGTGCTCAACGCGGATGAATCCGTCCGCATCTTCGTCACAGACGTCGAAAACCTCCTTGAGCCTCCGGAGAAACTGCAGGAGCTGCTCCTGGTCAGGAACATTTCCTTCCATCGCAGAGCTGCTTGGTATTTTTTTTTTCCTGTTAAAGAATGTCTGTGACGGTCGCCATCATCACCGTCGTCTTCTCCTTCATCCCGTCCTCCGCTCTCCTCCGCCGAACCGACTGCTGCTGATGCTGCTGCCGTGACATAAGCAGCGGCGCGTGCTCAGAGAGCGCGAGAAGTGACGGAAAAGGCCGATGATAAACGACTGAGGCACGAGGCATTGCGTCACAAGCCGGCAGCTCATTAATAATCCAGGTGTGTTACCACTCTCCGAAATAAACAATATGCCCTTTCAGCTGTTTTCAAAGATGCAGTAGAGCCAAGTTAAACAAAAAAGAGAGAATATAGTACATACAATGCAAGGAATGACAACAATCAAAAAATAATAATGGTTGGAACTGGAAGAATTCAAGATTATGATTTAAAGCAATGCATATCATTTCTGAAAATACATTCTTCTTGGTTGCATTCAGATGCAATAAAGCACAGCATGAAGCAACGCTCATATATTAGCAGCTAATACATGAGCAAACTTGAAATATATGTGTCTGTAACCAACATTACTTAAGTCAGTTGCAGACAGCAAACACATCTTTAATTTGTTAACATAATCACGATGTAAATTTGTATCCCACAATGCAATGCAAAAAAGAAATGGAGTTAGTACAAGCAGAAGCAGCTAAAAATATATTTTTGAAAACTGACCATGGTGGTGACACAGCTCGATAGATCCTTATAAAAAATAACCAAAAAAAACATTGAGCTATGGTGTTTAGTTCGCTTGACCTAAAATCCCAGTTGGATTGAATGCAGGCACCTTATCCTTTCCTGTGAATAAAATGGGAGAGTTGGGATTCAGCATGTGCCTTTGTTTCATATATTTGATGTAGTAAGTCTACATTTTAAATGACATAGGGAATCAATGTTTCATATGGCATTCCTGTCATTCTTTTCTTCTCCTGGAAGAAATGGCTTTTCATGAAAGGAAGCATTACTACATTGCAATAATACTATAGACCAAGGATTTTATTAGAAAAACGGTTTATACAAGACTGATATCAACACAATACTGTACAAAACATAAAACCATTATGTCTCTGTCCTGGAAGTCACTCGTTCCACCAACATATTAAAACACAATACTTCATATCTTACCCAGGTTGAATGCAAAACATATTCCACTTTTCAATACTTACACCTACACTAGCTTTTCTGTGCAAATAATGAGTTATTGAGGAGTACATCTAAGAGAATATAATCAACCTTTATCACATTCCTTAGCCGTCATGTACAATGCACAGAAGTGACTCCCCAGTTTAAGTCAAGCTGAAGGATCCTGAAATAAAAAATAAGTAGAGAAACAGCTTGATCCATTTTTAGATGATCAGCCTTGGTTCCAGCAGGGAGTCCCAGCGCTCTGTCACCTGTGGGAGGAGATGAAGACGTTTTTCAACTATATGCTTAGATATATGCTTATACGCATGGCATATGAATTATTCACCACTTTGAATGAGTAGGTACTTGTTGCCATCAATGTGGCATTAGCTGCTTTCGACCAGCATTTGGGTAGAAATGAATAGGCCTGGTTAATGTTCTGTGAGGTTTATCATATATATGATGTGATCCAGTCCAGCCGCTTTGGATCTCAGCACTACTGCTCACAACTTTCTACTCTTCATCACACAAAAAACCCTTATCTGCTCTGAGTTTAATATATGTATTACAGTTATAGTTGTATATTGTAGTAGTACAATGTGCACCATTTTATGTTTGCATAAATATTTGTTTTAATTCTTATTGAACATTTTTGACATTTTGTTTGTTTGTTAAAAAGGTCCCTTATTATATATGTATATATAAGATAAGATGTACTTTATTAATCGCCATTTGGGATTTTTTGTTGTTGCAGCAGCATAAAACAAAACAAGGCATTGCATATAATAACAAATTATAAGAGTAGAAATAAAACAATTCTAAAATATAAACATCACAAAATAGAATAAACCAGCATTAGAGAGTAAGAAAAATATACAGATGACCGTTAAGATAAAAAAAATCTATAAACTGTCTGACAAATAAAAACACTATTGAAGTCAATATAATTGACAAACAGACATGAGATTGATTTCCCTCCTTCACCTCTCTCTTTCCCTTAAGGTGAAAGTATTCCTTTAACAATAGAACAGAAGTTGAATATGTTACCTGAGAGCCTCTGGACACGGCGTACTCCACGCTCTCAGAGCCGTCTGCGTTCTGATACACAAGGTCAAACTTGCCCGGCTCTACAGGAGCTGAGGAAGAATGAACTCATTTTTAATCATAAACATGTAGTCATTTTGACATACTCTTGCTATTAAATCATATCAAATATGGTCATTTTGGGTTCAGTCCACTGTAGCTAACAACAAATATCTGGGACATGCACAACATGCACAAAGCAGCAAGAGTAGTCATTTCAGCCTTTACATTTATATTTTTATATTCTATAATTTATTGCATTCTATTTCAATGTAAATTACTGCTTTATTTTATTGCTATCTAACTATATTTGTATTACAATGTTCTTAATATAGGTCACTATGTGTGTTCTTTTTTAAAAAAAAAACATTTTTATGTATGCACCACGTCACCTTGTCAAATTCCTTGTACGTGTGAACCTACTAGGTAATAAACCTGATTCTGATTCAGTTTACATAAAGATAAGCCCCGCCTTCTATCCGGAGCGTTTAGTTTGAGTGACAAGAGGAATACAAATCATATCGCGGTCAAACTTGTGCGAGTACTGCAATGCGATATTTTCTTTGCCCCCAGTGTTTTGGAAGACAAACCTTTTTGAATGTTGACACTTTAAATTAGCCATTTTAGAATAAGATCAATGATGTAAGTCAGGGCTTCTCAAACTCCGGACCAAGGTCCGGATCCGGACCGAACTGCAAATCAATCCGGACCGAACCCTGTGTCCCATTATAAAAAAAATAAATAAAAATAATTAAAAATAAATAAATAAATAAATAATAATTCTGATTCTGATAAATTAATGTACATCATCATGTACGCGCGTCTTGTGTCTGACGCATTGTGAGAATGAACGTGCATATATATGTACTTGTGTGCGCGAGCGTGACACGCATTGCAGACCGCAAGTTAACCGCAAGTTTACCTTGACTTTCTAATGCTTCTAATGCCTTTTTTGCCGAGGTTCAAGGCATTGGCTACAGACAAACAGTGCCATTTCTCCCACTAGTTCAAGCCATCATACTGTATGTATGTATTGAATGTGTGTGTGTATATTACAGAGGCGCCGTTTGCCGACAGGCAAGTGCTTGGACCAGAAGGGGTCCCCCAAAGAAGGTAGATTAAGAAGGTCCACAGCAACGACAACATGAAACACCCTTTAATTTACTGCAACGACATGTCGGCAAAACCCCTCAAGGGGGCCCCATGCATAGAGCGCCGTAAGAAACATTTTCTTAATTTCAGCTTCTTTGCTCCGCTCCGGGGGGGGGGGGGGGTGACTTTACCGATCCGGACCAGTGACCTTGTATAAAGTTCACAAGTGGACCTTTAATAAAAAAGTTTGAGTACCCCTGATGTAAGTGGTGCAAGGGTCCTTACCTTGATAGGTATAAAGAAGTTCCAGCTCGATCTGTTTGGTGGTTGGGTCAAAGCTCACAAGCTTTCCTTCCTAAAATGAGAAGCAACATGTGGGTCAGTAGTGTGGGGATTCCAGTATGATGAAGTCAGAGACAATCACACCTACCTTATACTCTGATACCTCCGGTGTGTAGTTCTCTGTTAGCTCTAGTAACTGTGAACACACACAAATGTTTATTGTAAATACATTAAAAAGGAAAAATAGTGGTGAGCAATAAACAGCATTAGTAACTATTATTTTCAACATGGATTACCAGACAGTGACATTCTGCTCTGCTTAGCTAGGCACCAACAAACTAGCCATGGGCAAAGTTAGTGAGTCTAAGACCCTAGCGACACGGAGACGGTAACAAAAACGAACCAAATTCGATATCAAAAAAGTCTTCTGTCCACACGCAATCGGCACCAGAAATGTGTCCGTCCACACGAGACCGCTCGACCCGCTGGAGACACTGTAGTACATATGCCGGGCCTGTAAGTGGCGCTGTACTTCTGCCACAAAATACACCAAAAGCAGCGAAGAAAACTTCACGAGCATGCATGGTTGCCATGGTTGCCCTTCTGTTTATTCTCCGCGGTGGATTTAGCAGCAGAGGTGGGGAGAGGCAGGGGCCAGGGCTTTGGCTCTTTTTCTCCCTCCCCGAGGCAAGCGTGTGCTCCTGCTGTATATCTCTCCGGTTTTCCACCAGCAGATGAAAAACACCCACCTCTCCGCCTCTTCCAAGGGACGAGGGAACCGTGCGGCAGAGTTTCTGTTCGAATTTTTTTTCGCCGGTCAACATGTCCGTTAAAGTTTAAATCTTCCGGACAAAATTATAAAAGTGCCGGTCAAAGGTCTTCTTTGTTATTTATTGAGCTTTAAAACAAATGAATAACGGCTATATAATAATATAAGAATAATATACGGAGTCTCTCTTTTCCTCCCCCTCTCCTGACAGCCCGTCAGTATTTTCGTTATCAGGAAATGATCGTATAGGCGTAATCACGGAGCCGTTTGGCCCCCCAGAGCGTTGCGTCCGCAGATCTACCCACCTTGGGACCCTTTATCGTTATCTGCCTTTCCCTGTTGGCCTTGTGTGACCGAACCGTCTATATCAGGGGTAGCCAACACGGTGGCCGCGGGCACTTAGTCGCCCGCAGGGGCAACGTGAGTCGCCCGCAGGGGCAACGTGAGTCGCCCGCAGGGGCATGTTCTAAAAATAGCTCGCCAAGCAAATCCAAAATGTATAAAATACACAAAACAAAAAAGGAAATGTAATTAAAATAATCTACCCTATGCATAAACGAAACCTAAATCATAGCGAACTCTATCTACTTACTACAACTCTATATCTATCTAAAACCCCTCCTCCCCCCACCCCACAATGAATATCGACCAATCACGTTCTTGCTTGATTTGCGGGACCAGCGTTGCAGTCAGGAAGAAAAGCAATGTGGAGCGGCACCTCCCCGCTTCATAAGGAGTTTGACCTTTCCTTCTGGCAGAATCTACACAACACATCAGCCCCATTGAACACAGCCTATCATGCCAGCCTATACAACATATGAGGAACAGAGTTTTACTCTGTGTGTGTTGCAACTTGCATATATATTTATTGCACTTGACGCACACACACGCATTGCGTAATTTCCACTGGGACCAGGGGGGACATGTTCCCCGCTCTTTTCGAAATCCCGTTTGTGTCCCCCCACTTTACAAATATGTTTATTTTTATTTTTTAACGCAAGCCGTCATCGCCACGGAGCGAGCGAGACAGAGGGAGAGAGAGAGAGAGAGCGAGCGAGCTAGGGAGAGCACATCTTTATCTATTTAATATAGATAAAGTAAGAAATCATTCCAATGTGTACTATAGGACAGTAAAAAAAACAAAAACAGTTTAAAAGGGGAGTGATTAGTAAAATAAGCATAAAAAAAAAGAAAGAATGCTAACTAGGTAACATAAGATAAGAATAAACCAGTTTAAATGATTTGTTATGGGTTGTGATCATATTCTAAAGATGTTTGGATTATTGAAAAGTATACAGCTCCCTTTCATCTGAGTGTTGAGAGCTGTATCCATCAATTCATGTTGTGCTCAAAGTGCTCCAGATTGATGCTTTTAACTTCAACATTTAAAAAAAAATCTTCCCGGGGGTCCTCACACCCCCTAGAGGATGTGAGGACCCCCCTAGAGGATGCGAGGTCCACCCCCAGATAAAGCAGGTTAAAATAATTAAATTGAATACATGTTCTTTTAGTAAACACTGAAAACGGGTCCCACAGACCCAAACAGCACACACAGGTTAAAGGTAAGCATATAATAATGTTAAAATGTGCTAAATATATACACTGCAAAAAAAAAATCTCACGACTTGTTTTATTTTTTGAAAGTAGCCCTCATCCTAAAAAAAGGTTGGTGACCCCTGGTCTATATGATAGAGAACTGAAGCGGATACGACCCGTTTCGTCTCCGTGTGGCTAGGACATTACCTTGAAGGCGATCTTCTGCCCTGGCTGGGGGGGGGCGGCCAGCAGAGGCAAGGAGCTGTAGTCCCGTTTGGGGGCAGCTTGTGCTCCGTTTGCTCCGTTCTACAACAAGGGAAGAACAAAGTATTGTTGAATGGTGCAATCGGTTTTTTGAACTTGTTTCTCGTTAGATGTAAACAATTAGGTCATCTCCCAGACTAGTGTCAGTTTCTTTATTTGTTGTTACTTTCTTTTAAGTAAATGTTTTCAAGTTCTGTACTTTAAGTAAAAAAAATGGAGGTACTTTACTGTAGACAAATGTTGTACTTTTTCCTGAACTACTTTTATTTAACAGATTTAGTTACTTTTCCGATTTAGATTATGAATACAAAATATAAATCAACTAACACATTATTATATTTTATTATAGGTTAAGCTAGCCAGGAGTGCATCAAATAATTCAAATGAACCACACTTTTTCCAAGTGCAACATTGAAGTTATGAACACATGAATACATTAATAGTTATAACACAATCATTTAAAATATATTATATATGCTTATTTGTGCATCTTCATGAAGAGTACTTTTACTTTTGGTATGCTAATACTTTTACTTATGTACAATTTTGACTACAGGACTTTTACTTGTAGCCGAGTATTTTTACACTGTAGTATTGTTACTTTTACCTAAGTAAGTAATCTAAGTACTTCTTCCATCACTGTCCTATTTAAAGATGACCTAAGCAGGAACTGAAATCCTACTGAATCACAGACATTAATGAGACACACCTGGAGGACCACTGACAGGTTGGTCAGTGTGTCAGTGTGGCAGGATGGCTCTCTGGCTCCGTTGTAACTGGACCCTCTGAAGCCCCCTGGTCGTCCTCCACCCCTGCCCTGCTCTACAGGACTCCCCCGCCCGATGTGTCCCCTGCTCTGCTCTACAGGACTCCCCCGCCCGATGTGTCCCCTGCTCTGCTCCAAAGGACTCCCCCGCCCGATGTGTCCCCTACTCTGCTCTACAGGACTCCCCCGCCCGATGTGTCCCCTGCTCTGCTCTACAGGACTCCCCCGCCCGATGTGTCCCCTGCTCTGCTCTACAGGACTCCCCCGCCCGATGTGTCCCCTGCCGCGGCCTCTCCATGGCGACATGCCACCCCCACCGAAGCCCGGCTGCTGCCCCGGCTGGCGGATCACCAGCTTGATCTCATCATCACTGTCTGAGTCAGAAGACGCTGCGTTGTCATGGTGATTTTGCGCCGCCACCTGCTTCTGTGCACCGTTGGTGGCCTGCTGTGGCTTGGAGTCTTTACTTATTGCTCCTTTGGGGGCTGTGGAGGTTAAATAAGTTGTTTTGGGCAGGCTTTTCACAGCGGGGGCCTCATCAGAGGAGGAGCACTCGGAAGAGGATGAAGGAGGAGGGCGTGGTTTAGTCTGGGGGGGTTTGGTGGTTGGAGGCGCCTTGGAAGCAGTAGGAGTGGAGGAGGGCGTTTTGGGTGTGGGTGTTTTGAGTGTGGGTGTTTTGGGTGTGGGTTTTATGGCGGCTGGTTTTTTGGCAGCTGGTTTTTTGGCAGCTTCATCGTCTTCGCTGCTGCTGCTGGAGTCTGAAGAGGAGACCTTCTTTGGCTTTGTCACTAGGGGCTTCTTGCTGCTTTTAGCTGGCTTCTCTACACTAGCTGGGGTTTTGGGGGGAGAAGCAGCTGCTTTGGGGGTTTCCTCTGCCTTCTTTTTCTTCTTCTTCTTCTTCTTCTTGTCCTTGTGTTTTATTTCTAACTTCCCATTCTTCTCCTCTCCTGAAGCCTGCTTGGTATCGGTCTCCACGCTCTCCTCACACTTTTTTTTCCTCTTTTTTTTCTTCCGATCCACACACACTGCCTTCTCTTCTGGACAATCCTCCTCTGTGGGTCTCTGTCTCTTTTTGCCGTTTTCACTTGCTGCATCCGGACTGCTGCTGTGGCCATTAAGATGAGCCAGAGAGTCCACCTTCACCCTGGAAAATCAAAAATCAAGTCTTTAAAGGAGGAGACAAACATTGTAAAATACACATTTATATCTTTAGAGTTTATGACTTTCTTGACCATTCTTCCTGGATCAAGCAGTGAGGTAGGGATTTGAGAGGGAAACCAAGATTAAGTACCCATAAAAAGGTCGGAATAATACACGACTGGGATATAGTTTTAAAATAATTTTAAAAAACTGCCACCCCCCCCAGCATTAGAGAACAGTACCATTAGTACAGTATTACTACTATAATAGTAGTATATTACTACACTGATAGTACTATACAGCATGTATTAAAGTACTGTGCGTGCAGTGTTATGGGTACAATACTATAGGTAGCCTATATTGCTATGGGTACAGTACTATGGGTACAGTACTATTGGTACAATAGTATGCGTAGCCTCCAGTAGTATTGGTTCACCACCATAAGTACAGCATTACGGGTACAGTCCTATTGGTACAATACGGTACTATGAGTATCCTACAGGCACAGTACTATGAGTAGTCTACAGTACTATGGGTATAGCAGTATGGGTACAGTAATATGGGTACAGTACTTAGGGTACAGGTCCATAAGTAGCCTACAATGCTACGGGTACAGTACTATGGGTTAAATACTTGGAGTACAATACTGAGTAGCCTACAGTACTATGGGTACAGCATTATGGGTCCAGTACTATGGGTAAAGTACTATGGGTACATTGCTGTGTGGATACAGTACTATGGCTACAGCATTATGTGAACAGAACTATAAGTACAATGTGTAGTACAGTATTATTGACAGAAGAGCACGCGCACCTGAGGCTGTCGTCATCGCGCACAACACAAACGCTCTCGGTGTGCGGCAGGTAGCAGTCCTGGAGGAAGAGCTGCAGGACGCTGCTGCGGCTGAACCCGAACTTCTCCCGGATCAGGCTCTCCAGGTCCGCCACCACCCGGCAGGTGTTCAGGTCCGCGAGCAGCCAGCACATGCGGCATCCCGCAACAGCCGGAGGCGGGTAGTCGAAGTGGAGGCGCACGCGGATAAAGTTTTTACCGTGAGCAGCCATGAGCACGAGAGGACCAAAACACCGCTCTGTTCCGCCGGAAATAGTCACGGTATTTCTAACCGGGAGTTTCAGAACAAGAGTGTTAAATAATTTAGATACGTCTTTCACATTTCTTTCTTTGTTACTGTTTTAAATTCACCAAACAGAGAGTGAAAAAAGAGCCAAAAGTTAATTATCTTTTAGAAAATAATCTGTCAATATTAAATTGCCTGATGTTAAAGTGTCGTGAAATTTGAATAGAATGGATATACACCCAATATGTTACACATACATTCACTATAAAGTATATTTATTTATCATATCAAGTCAACTGTTATCTTCAAATCAGGGTGTTTCTCAATGTCGAGGAAGGCTGCTCCAGAGCCACTAGGCTTGTTTGAGATGAGCTGCGGCTCGCCTCGAAAGTAGACGACAGCTCGGAGTCGGCTTCTTCTCTCTTCTTCTCTTCGTGTTTTGGCGGATTACAAACAATTTTAAAGTGCATACCGCCACCTACTGTACAAGAGTGTGTATCACCATATCATCCTATCACCACTTGTGGAATTATACCACTGTATTTACGTTGTTTTAAATTCTTCCAATCAATCCTGTTTCACTCAAATACTTAAGAATGGCCTTCCTGGTAGCTCTTACCCCCTCACCTTCTGTTCCTAGTATCCCCATCAGGCTCCACTCCCTTCCTGCCTCTCTGACCCTGTCTCTTAGTTGTTCCCTCTCTGTTTTGTACATGTTGCAGTGTAATATGATGTGTTCCACATTTTCTTTCACTCCACACCCCCTGCATACTTCAACTTCGCTTTTTACCATTATAAACATTGTGCCGTTTAATCCTGTATGATCCAGTCTGAGTCTAGTGATGGTGATCTCCTCCCGTCTGTTCCTTATAGATCTTTATTATGACTGATTTCTGTAACTTGTGGTATCTCCTCCCTTTCTGATCTTCCTCCCACCTTTTCTGCCATATTTCCATACCCTTCTTCTTAATTATTGCTTTTCCTTCTCCTTTTCCAAGTGAAACTGGTATTGCTATTTCCTTCTGTAACGCATCTTTTGCTAACTTATCAGCATGCTCATTCCCTTGAACCCCCTCATGTGCAGGCACCCAGCATAACTGCACATCTATTCCCCTTCTCTGAAGTCTCAATAAGCAATGGTTAAGTTCAATAATTAAATCTTCTCTAACAGTTATTGTCGACTATGCTTTTCAAAGCAGATAGTGAGTCTGTGCATATCACCACCCTATCTGACTTCTTCAACCTATTGTAGCCCAATAATTGCTGCTAGTATTTATGCTGTATAAACTGATAAGTTATGTGACACTCGTTTTAAGATTGATATTTTGAATTCTGATATATACACGCCTATCCCCACACATTCTTGCTTCTTAGATCCATCTGTGTACATTTTGAGGTAATTATACTTTTCGTTCGGGTACATACTCGTTTTAATTCCCACTTCATTTATTTGCCACTCTTTTTTCCTTTCTATGATACTCATATCTATGTTAGCTTCTGGGGAAAGCCATGGGGGAACACTGCTAAATGGGCTTGCTTTGGCAAACGTTATGGTCTCCACTCCATATGCCCTCGTTCTCTCCTTACTTGTCCAGCCAAACCCACGCCCCTGGAACTTTGTATATTCCCAGCAATCCTGTAGTATTCCGTTTGTGATATTTTCCTCTCCACTTCCTTGTAGCCTGACCCAGTAGGCCTCTGACAGAGCAAGTTTCTCTCTTCTGATCTCCAGAGGTGTCTCTCCTCTCGGAGTCGGCTTGACTCGGTTTGCATTCATAAAGAATGCACAAATGTGTTTAATCGTTAATGTCAGATATGTACCAAATAAATACATTTGTTCCTGCTCAAGATTAGATTCAACTTTATTGTTATTGCACAGATTACAGACTGAGACAACGAAATGCAGTTTAGCTTCTAACCAGGAGTGCAAAAAGCAGTAAAGTGAAAAGTAATGTACACAATCTACAGAATAAAATATAGAATGAATTGAATGATGAATAAACAGTGAGGGATATGAATACACTAGGCCTAGATATACACAACAGTAGCCTATGAGCAGTATGAACAGTGTGTATGAATATGCTAAGATATATAAAGTATGAAAACGGTAAGCAGTGCAAGTATAGTATAAAATATATATACCCCTCACTGTTTATTCATCATTCAATTCATTCTATATTTTATTCTGTTGTGTACATTATCACTTTACTGCTTATTGCACTCCTGGTTAAGCTAAATTGCATTTCGTTGTCTCAGTACCTGTAATCTGTGCAATAACAATAAAGTTGAATCTAATCTTGAGCAGGAACACATTTATTTACTTAGTAGGCCTACATATCTGACATTAACGATTAAACACATTTGTGCATTCTTTATAAATGCAAACTGGTCAAGACCACTGACGGAAGTAGTTTTGAAAAGAAATAGGCCTAAGTGGTTCTGTCTTTTACATGTAGGATTCAACCCCCCTTGTATTGATTTGTTTTCAAATGAACAGACACTTGAGTCATTCATTTGTAGTGATATAATAATTGTGGGATTTCTATTGCATCCACGACTTCATCTGCAACGAAGAACGCCAACACAATTTCCGCCATTGCAAACCGAGTCAAGCCGACTCCAAGCTGTCCGACTTCAGGCGAGCTTTATGAGACCTCCCCCAGCTGCAATCGGCTATTCTCGTCTACTTTCGAGCCGAGCCGCAGCTCATCTCAAACAAGCCAATAGAGAGGCGAAGTCCCGCCCTTCTACTTCCGCCCCATGGGACCTTATTTCGGAAAAATTATGTATTGAAGTCAATGGGTAGAGAAAGATTATCTTTCGATCTCGTTTGAATTGTGCCATGAATTACACATATGATGTTTGTCAATCTTAAAAAATAATTTCCATGTCAGAAAAGTCACAGTTTGTCGTAAAACTGTTGAAATATAAGACTATGAAAAATACGCAACTAGAAATACTACAAATCCCAGAATCGCGTAAGTGATGTCACAATTGTTTTCCTCCACTAAATATAAGAGATAGCTAAGATAACTTTAACAAGATGCCTGTGTGCTTTGTACCAGGCTGTAATCATACCAGCAATGGGTCTTGCTCGTTCTTTCGCTTCCCGTCTGATGAAAGGACCAGGAGTGGCTGGCTGGATCAAGTTAGCTACCTAGCTAGTAGCAAGCACGTTAGTTAGCAGTACAGCCGGCTTAGCCTTGTCATTTTTATTAGCCTTAACATGAAGTAACATTAAGTAACCCAAAATGTTAAACAGTAGAGTAGTAGTCATATTTCGTGAACCCTTTGAAGAGTACTGTCACACCGGTGTGATCATTCTATAATACACCTTTAAGCCCGGATGCCCCCGAGGGAGACATGCTAACGCTACATTAGCATAGGCGATCTTTTATTACTTCATGCTATCTGCACAAATGGTTAACATTGAACATTAAAAAGATCAGGGAGAATCGAAGGAAGGCAGGCAGGCAGGCAGCTTTGCATGACATTCTTCTGGACGTGTTTCATTGTGGTAATGGTAGTCAATCCCTTGTTTAGCAAGACAGTAGTGACGGCCATCTTGGTGACGTGTGTTGTTGTGCGAGACCAGAGATGTAGTTCATTGAGCGGTTTCACACAAAAAAAGTCTTACTCCAAAGTTTTACGGCAAAACATTTTTTTTTTAACTTGAAAAATTATCTTTTAAATTGACAAACATAATTTGTGTAATTCGTGGCACAATTCAAACGGGATCGAAAGATAACTTTTCTCTCGCCATTGACTTCAATACATAATTTTTCCGAAATAAGGTCCCATGGAGGTCCACCGGAAAGGGAGGGACTTCGCCTCTCTATTAACCATGGAAGTATAATAAGAACTGGATACAGCGTCGGAGGCGGGGTCTCGTTCTTTCTTATGTGAGCTGCTCTCGACACAGGTTCGGGAAAGCCCCATGAGCTTCTCGTTGTAGAGTGAAAATGGAACGCACACGCTGTTGTTTGTTTATATCACGCAGTCTGTTCTTCTTCTCTCGGTTATCACGCAGTCTGTCTTCCGGTTGTTGCCTCTTTTGAATGACGAATACACACTACCGCCGCCTGCTGGTAAGGAGAGTTATTGCCACTCACGCATGCGCAGTTCGTACATGCTTCTTGGCCGTCGGCTGAAGTCTTTGCGGTGTGTTCCAGTGCGACACATGGCCAAGACGCAGAGACGCGAGGCGACGCGACAGTCGGGGTCCGTCTGTGTCAGTTCTTTGTTGTCAGATTGGTGTGTCCCGGCCTTAAGATAGCTGAGAAATGGGTGTCAAAACTAATCACCAAACATTTAGACAAAGGTTTCGCTTCACTCCACCCAATGCAGTTTGGTTTTCTTGCTCACCACTCCACTGAGACAGCTAACTGTGTCTTTGTGGAAAAGGTTAAATGTATGTTGGACACAAGCCCATATGTAGGTGCTGTCTTCCTTGATCTCAGGAAGGCATTTGACACAGTTGACCACCAAGTGCTCCTTACAAAGCTGACTCATTTCAATTTTTCGGCAGTTTCAATACATTGGTTCAAGTCTTACTTATCGAACAGAAAACAGTGTGTTTTGGTCAACGGTGCCAAATCCCCCTACCTTGTCAACCCTGTTGGGGTTCCACAAGGTTCCATTCTTGGACCGGTACCTTTTTCACTGTACATCAATGACTTGCCTAATCTATGTCCTGAGTTGAATGTGCAAATGTATGCCGATGATGTGGTCATCTTTATACACGGGAAGAACACTGAAATAATCTCATCCTGTCTCTCAAATGCATTGGACAAGGTTCAACACTGGCTGAACAACATTTGCTTACAGTTAAACGTAAAAAGAACAGTATGCATGATGTTCAGTAAACGACCAGTCAAAATCGAAGGATCCAATGTGTTTTTAAACGGAGCAGAACTAGAACTAGTCTCCCAGTTCAAGTATCTTGGAGTCATATTGGACTCGAACTTGACTTTTAAGAAACATATTAAGAAAGTATCAAATACTATTAAATTCAACTTGCAACATT